ATATATATATATATATATATATAGCTAATTTAATGAAATATTCAAACATTTAAATATTGTGATAAAATAAATGTGAAAATTTTGATCCAAACACGAAGAGAATCAATTTATTCGAAGAATCTTTGGAGAATTTATTAGATTTATTCGTTATTTTTCTAAAATTTTGTATAAATATATCAAAATAATTCTCAAATAAATTATTCATAATTTATACAACAATATATTTTGTATATTCTTTTTTTTTTTTTCGTAAAAGAAACATAAACAAACGAAGAATATTCAAACATAAAAGCCAAAACCCTATTTCTTCTAGCAATAAAATTATAATAAAATCCTAAGGAAAATTAAAAAAAAAAAAATATAAAAAAAAACAAAAAGAAAAGGACTTCTTCTTCTTCACTTCACCTTATCGTTGCCAATGAGTGCCCTGAAATTTTCTACATAGCCCAAAATTACTCAGGTCCATCATCGGCGCCGGCGCTGGAATTCTTTCCCCGTCGTCAGAACAGAAATCCGCCGCCACTACCGCCGTTGCTTTTGTTGGAGGAATCTGCAGAAGCTCCGGCGGGAGGAATTTGAGAAGAAACTGCACTTTCCATCAGAAATCCGTCTGCGGCGACTCCGCCATTTCCTGGCTTCGCGGCGGATAGCCTCTGAAGAAATTCGCCGCCGTGTGCGGATGCTGGAATCACGAACGGTTGGGGGTTGTGATGGTAAAACTGCAGCGGATAACCAGACGGCGGAGAAATCAAGCCGGAATTCGATTGAGGAATCGCGCCGAACCCTAACGAAAAATTGGGGGAAATCGATGAGGCGAAAGGCGGAGTTGGACCGCCGGTGAATTGTTGAACCATCGCTCTGAAATTAGTTGTGTCTGTATTGAGCAAGGTCGTCGGAGTCCGCCGAGAAGTCCTGGACCGGCGGCGAACCGGCTTTGCTACACGACGTTCCGGATTCAAGCCAGTGGAAGCGCCGGTGTTTGCGGAGGCGATGGCGTCGGAAACTCGATCGACGAAGATCATCTCGGAGGTGGATTGATCGGAAGGCGGTGGCGCCGCCGTGGTAGGAAGATTTTGATGGTAAAATTGAAGCCAATCGCCAGGGCCGGACATGGTTTAAACAATCAGAAAATTGGGTAATTGATCTGTGCTCTGTTCTTGTTTGTTGTTGGGTTATGAAGGAGTAGGGTAAGGCAATTGAGTTACATGATTTTCTTGGAAACACATGAAAACATCGCCATTCATTACAAACCCCATCAAATCATAATCTCCAACTTCAAGAACACACATCAATGGTGGTGGTAGCTGCCTTTTGCCTCACTTTAGGGATTCTTTTGGATCATACCCTTTCATCTTTTTGCTTTTTATTTTGATTTTTTTACATGATTGTGTCTAACGCGCATCGTTTTTACTATATATATATGAATATAGTAGTGGATAAGACATTAGATATCACGCTTCTAAATTAGTTCGTAACTATTTAAGTCCATTGCTAGTAGATATCGTCTTATTTGTGTTTTTCCTTTCGAGCTTTGTGTCGCTAGGAAGAGGTTTTCACACCCTTATAAAAAATGTTTCGTTCTACTCTCTAATCGACGTAGGATCTCACCATCCAACCCTATTTAGGGTCTAACATCCTCGCTTGCACTCATTCCCTTCTTCAATCACAGTAGGACCTCATAATACACCCTTCTTTGAGGCCCACGTCCATTTTGACTTCATCTCTCAAATCGATGTGAAATCTCATAATAACATATTTTAAGTGATTTTTTCAAGTCTAATATTAATGAGTATACTCAAAATTCATGAAATGGAGAATAAAATAAATATATAAAACTCATATATAGCTCTAAACCCTATTCGTGCTTCCACAACTTGTAAAGAATAACCCAGTAGAGATGCCATTCAAGCTCACCCATATCGAAACCTGATAACCCAATAACGCTACGTTTCACACGAGACACAATTTCATGGATAGTTTCATTTGAGATTGTGATGGGGACGCAACTTACGTACATCGACTTTAATCATGCCACTAGATGTTTTATTAGGGTCTATTAGACGGGATTCAACTAGCAAAGGCTCTCAATAGCGTATATGAACTAAATTTAAAAAAAAGTGGTATAATTTCTTGCCCTAAAGAAGACTCCATAATTTCACGAAACAAAATCATAACTTCTACCTAAGGAATTATATATTATAGTTTTTGTTTCTTTCAATTTCTTTATACTTTTAACATCCACAATTTTGCCTTGCTTATACGCCAAGGTATTCATATATATATATATATATATGAATATATATAATTACTAATTTGATCACTTATTTTAATTATCATTTCAATATATATATATATATATTTTGTAACCATTAGAAAATTAATGATGTAGAGACAACTTTTCTAGATATGTTTAAACAATAATAATTAATTTAGATTATTGATCATAATTTAATAGAATAAAACCCACCTCAAAATTTTGAGAAATAAATTAAAATTAAGACGTACTTTCAAAACTTATCAAAACTTATCAATCTCAATCTCGAGAGCTTCTTAGAATTAGGTAGAAACCCTAATATTTTACTTGTAAAGCACGTAGAGTTGCATCAAATAATACTGCATAGGGTAAGCACGAGTTTTGCTTCATGCTATGCACATGGACCTGTGGATGATGATGGGTGCCTCTTCATTCAATAGTATTATAATCTCAATTCCCATCTCTATATTTTGAGGAAATTCATATACACCATGGACCGAGCAAGAAGTGGAGAAGAATTTTCTAAATTTTTAATTACATTGTATTTCCGTCCCCTTGTGGGAATATTTTAACAACGATGAGTATGCTACTTCTTGCGAGAATTGATTCGAATGGTTTGTCATGTTCCTACTCCTTACGACAATAGCTCTTACTGCTAAAAACTACACTAAAAAAGTAGGTGATAAGCAAGAAGAAAAGAGAAATCCCGACACTAGACCAAACAATACCCTGCCAGCGATTGAGTTTGACTCGAGAGATGTGGCCTCTCTCGATATTGGGTTGACCCGCTCGTAGCAAGCATCGAACGAATTAATCCTCTGAGTAGGAAGAAAGAAATTGAATTTACAGGAAGAACTCAGCCTTCCAAAAACATAGTTAGAGAGCATTCCCAGATTCTCAATATCATACAGGAAGGAAGAACTCAGCCTTCCAAACACAGCAGGTTCTTTCAAAACAAAATCACTGATTTCTGCTACAACTTTACACCCAAATTGTTTCCCTCTCCTCCTTCCGATCGACAAAAAAGTAAAGAAGCTCGGGCACGGTGGCACAAAGTACTCCGGGGTCTGGGCGTGCGTCCTGTATATACCTTTTGTATCTGTTTCTTCATTAAGTATGTCTAGAACTACTGCCATGAAGCTGTGCAGATCTCAAATGTTGCTCGTCCTGAAATTATTTTGGCAACACAGTTTTATTAAACGAAACCAGAAAGATCGTTCTCAAATACGATACCGAGTTATATAAACCTGTAAGCTATAGTTATAACTCGTAGCCGGTCGATAATCCACCTGTACGTAAACAAAACCAAAACAAAATGAAAAACTTTCAGATATTGGCTGGAGAAAACGTTCCCTCAAGCATATTCATTGGAAAATGGCTAATACCAGTGCATGAATGCTACTATGCTGCGCCCCAAAATACCCATCATGATTGGCTGCAATTGTGTTTAACTGTCCCTGTAAAATGAATATATTGAATTTGAATGATCGTTGAATATGCAACAACAACCTTAGCAAGACTAACCAGCCCTTGAATGCTTTGTTGATCGACGTAGTACGATGCGTCATGGGGAGGCTCCATCAAGTTCAGCTGTACCAATCCTTGAACGTTCTGTTGGGTTCCGTAATATCCGCTCAGGGTCATGCTATCCGAGGTTAAACTATCCTGCAAGTCGAAAGTCCAAATGAAAATGAAATCCGTAACTATGTGATAAATGCACATTGCTAACGAATTACGTAGTAGGGAGATTCGACCATTTGCTGCAAGTTGTCCTGTGGTTCGACAAGTATCATAGCTGCTTCGGATTGTACCTGAGAAAAGGGATTCTTGAATCAAAAACGTTTCTTCAGAAAGCTTTTACGAATAAAAAACGTGACGAACCTTTCGTTTTCTGTTTACACTCTTCTTCTTATTTGTTTTAGCAGTTATACTTCCCTGATTCTCGTCCTCCTCACGTAGACCATGGGCGTGAACGCTAGATTCAGCTGGAGCACTTTTCGAGTTGTTAATATTAACACAGTTCTTTAGAGCTTCGACCAATGTACGAACCGCTATATTATAACACTCCTCGGAATGTGATCCTTCTTCGCTCAATTCAATTGCCTTTTTACATAAATCGTTGTAACGTTGTGCTCTGTTCTGTCTAAATTCTGTTCCATCAGCAATTGGTTGCCTACTCTTAGCATCTTTTGTCCACCTCTTTAAAATATATTGAGGCGGAATACTCCGAAAATCGAGCATTTGTAACACGATCAATGCATGTCGACAAAGAAAACCTTTATATTCAAACAAACGGCAAAAACAAGAAACTTCAGAGTTCAATTTATGCCACCTTACTAGAAAATGCTCATCTTTCTCACAGTCCTGAACTCTGAATGTAGTAATTGCTCCATCGTCGATTTCTTTTCTCATACGACAGCCAACTACCCCGAGAACTTCAACTTGGAACTTCTTAAATATTGTGTGTGTGTAAATTGTAGACATTTGTTTCTCCCAGGGAGAAGGAGATTTTAAGGCGGGCTGTTTATGCAATGTATCGAAATCCGCTATTGCTTCCTCTTCGTACCGATTTTGCAGAATGATACCATATTGTTTCAAGAACTCTTTCAGAGTGATTTTCTTGTGAATGTATTTGTCAAAGAAAGCATTCATACTATCGGAACGTTGGGCGGTTGACATTCCAGCCAAGAAGATATCCTCCATATAAGTCGGTACCCATTTTTTACGATCGTCATACAATGATTGGATCCATTCATCGTCTTGAAGTTCAAATCTAGTAACCATCTTCCACCATCGCATATCGAACTGCTCGTCTGACCACGACTTGAAAATGCACTTATTAAACTTTGCGAAGAAGTTTTCGTTTCGTTTGATGACGTGAGCAAGAGTTTCGGGAATCTTTTCCAATATATGCCAAAGCGCAAAGCAATGGCGGGTATTTGGGAAGACTTCTTCAATGGCTAACTTCAAGGCCTTGTCTTGATCAGATATAATAACTTTGGGAGCTTTCCCACCCATTGCTCTAAGCCATGTCTTCAACAACCAGGTAAATGTTGGCTTAGTCCAATCTGCAGCCAGTGCACAACCAAGTATCATTGACTGCGCATGATGGTTCACCCCAATGAACGGAGCAAACGGAAGCTTATCATTGGTCTTAATGTATGAGATATCGAATGAAACGACATCAGTGAAACTAACATAATCGCTTCTACTTTTGGCATCGACCCAAAACAAGTTTCTCAGACGCTGCTCTTCATTTAAGTCTATAGCATAGAAAAAGTCGGGATTCTCCTTTTGGATACGTTTGAAGTATTCGAGCAATATTTGGGCATCCCCCTCATCAAGAGCTAAATACCGGCCTTTGTCAAACTGATAACTCGTGTTAATCTGCGGAAAACTGAAATTTCTATACCCGCCACATTTTTTCGACATCTCGACATACATCCTCCGTGTTCTTTCACTAACAGCATGCAATATGTCGATGTTATTCTTCTCTGCCAGCTTTACATTCCTATGGATACGAAAATGATACGCAAGGGCAGGTAAAAGCTCGTGATTATGATCTTTTATGAACTCGTGAATAATCCATCTTCCATCTGGCCTTCTCTTCACATGCATGCTGGCTTTACAATCGGTCTTCTTCACGCTGGGCCTTCGACTATTCCCACTCTCGGATTCAGGAGTAACTCCATATCTTGAACACGCAAATTTTGCATCGATAAACTCCTTTGATTTCTTTGAACGTCGACTATTCTTAATCGATGTGGTGAATCCCATTGATTTGGCATATTCTTGATAAAATGTGTATGCAGCTTCATGGGACTCAAATTCAATGCCATTGTGCGGCTCAAAATCTATATCCTCTTCAAAAAGGGTGTCCTTCTTTGGTAAACTAATAATTCCACCATCTCTATCATGCATTTCATCCACAACATCAACCATTTGTTCAGCAATAAGAAGTAGAGTCTTCACATTTCACCTAAATGCTGCCACACAGTTCATAACTTTTCAGCATAGGAAAGTTTACAGACTATTGCTTTGACTGAAATTCCCTGTGAAATGATAGAGAGACCACCTAGCATACTCCATGAACTTTCAAATCCATTATTCAACGGGATTTAATTTACATTCCTCAACAAAACTCACTCACTTGGTGTAACGGCCTAGGCCAACCGCTAACAGATACTGTCCTCTTTCGGCTTTCCTTTCGAGCTTACGCTCAAGGTTTTTAAAACGCACCTGGTAGGAAGAGGTTTCCACACCCTTATAAAGGGTGTTTTGTTCTCCTCCACAACCGATGTGGGATCTTACAATCCACCCCCCTTCGGGACCCAGCGTCCTTACTAGCACACTGCCTCGTGTCTACCCCCCTTCGAGGAATAGCCTCCTTGCTGGCACATCGCTCGGTATCTGGCTCTGATATCATTTGTAACAACTCAGGCCCACTGCTAGCATATATTGTCTTCTTTGGACTTTCCCTCTCGGGTTTACCCTCGAGGTTTTTAAATGCGTCTGCTAGGAAGAGGTTTCCATCCCCTTATAAAGGGTGTTTCGTTCTTCTCCCCAACCGATGTGGGATCTTACAATTGGTAATGAAGATTACTGGTCAATGTATCATGGCTTGCATTTTGAAAATCATGAACAGTAATTAAATGCCAACATCACATGATTGAAGACTTCAAAAACAGCTAACCCAGTAAACAAACGTGATGGGAACTTTTTCAGTAACTCTACAAGCAAATACGAGACATCAAACCTTTTAACAATATACTGCTACATCAAACGCACATAATCTACAGAACGTCTGTTAATAAAAGCAGATCCCCATTTTTACGTCCCCCTATCCTTCCCGTGTGGCGACATGGAGGCAAAAATAGGAAAAAGAGGGATAGAGTTCCTCTCGCTTTCGGCATAGCAAGCCCCAGCCTATGAAATAATAGCTCGACACCAGGATGATAAAAAGCTTAACACCCTCTAATTCTTATTACTTTACAATATTCAATATGAAAAAAAAAAATGAAAAGGTCGTCTTATTCATCTAAGGTAGTGAAATTCCTGGTCGGGTAAGTTCCAACCAGCACGGAAAAATATAATCAACTTAGTTTCGTCACACCTATTCAAAATCGGAGTAAAAGACTGGATTTGTTAAAATCCATCTCCTGTGTTAGTGACTAAGAGACAAAACTCAAGAAGTGATTAATCGACAGAATCCCAATTCAAGAAGTCAAGAGTACTATAACGACACAATCTCCCAACATTGATAGAGAAACCAAACATACAAACAAAACCCATCTCAAATTAGCTAATATCAGGGGGAGGGGGAGAAGAAGCAACAATAGAACGGCACATTTCTCAAATCCCATCAAGTAAACTACACACATATAGAAACAATTCTCCATCGACATTTCATCAGGCAACAAACAGTCATAGAAAATGGAAAATCCCAAGAGAAAGCACCATGAAGATCGCAGAAAAGTGACACAGAAACCCAGCAGTGAAGACAAAGACAAAGAGCAAGTTGAGAGAAAGAGAGAGAGACCTGAAGAAGGAAGGCCCCCGCACACCCACAAGCAGCGAGTGAAGGAATTGCGCGAGTGGGGGAAGGGGGTTCTTCGATTGGGAGATTAGGGTTTGAGACTCACTCGCCGATCGAAAACTGTGGGGGAGAGATTGAGAGAATTGGGTCAACGTGGATTCCAATTTCAATTTTCACTCGCTTCTTTTCTTGGTATTGTTGCCACTCTCTGTCGGCGCCAAATTCAGAGCTCTCTCCACCAGCGCCAAGAAGAAAACAAGAAAAGCTTGTTTAGCTCAAAATCCCATTTTTGGTGGGTTTCCCCCCTTAAAGCCACACGCGTGTGCGCGTGTATTAAAATCATTATATCACAAATTTATTGATTTTAGTGTTTAATAAATTTTTAATGTTTTTAAAATTAAGTCACATTATAAGCCATGAATCTAGGTTTAAATTATGTTTTCTATTGTGTCCGATCTTTTCGACCGGTTTCAAAATAAATATATATTATAGTTGATATGGCAAGAGTCATGAGAGAACATGTCTATGACAGAAAAATTGTTCAAGTCTCGAGTTCACAGAAACTACAAGGATGGAAAAAATGATTTAACTTATAATAAAAGAAATGTTTTTCCCGAGTAATCATTGTCATTGGCTTGATCATCATCGGTTTCGTTATTAATCCTATGATCATGAGATTGAGACTCCTAAAAATTTGTTTCCTCCCAAAAATGAAGTTATTGAACTCTTTATTCTTTTAATATTTTATGATTTGTCATAACGCGACATTTGCATTGAAAGGTCGGGATTTTTGTTTTGAAAATATTTTTAACGTTAAGAGGTTAAAAATTTTAAAGGCAACTTTTCAAACAAAAGAAGCAAAATTTGAAATTGATACAAAAGAATACAAAAATGAATTTTTGAGACCCAGATTTCAGTTAAATTCGAAGAACTCTATACAAGCAACGAACCTAATCTGCTCCCTTCTGCAACTACATTTCCTGGATAAGGCTCTCTTTCATTTTCCTGTCAAAATGAACAAAAATGTTTATAATGATCGAAACGAAACAAATATTTGAAGAACAAACGATGTCACTCAAACCCATTAGAACAACGATGACTTGACTTACCATGCAAAAACTCAGTTTCAAGTCAGATTCAGCTCCATAAGGACAAAGATGGCTTCACTTGCCACACAAAAACTCAGTTTCAAGTCGGATTCAGCTCCGTAAGGACAAACGATGCCACTCGAACCCTAAGGACAAATGATGGCTTGACTTACCACGCAAAAACTCAGTTTCAAGTCGGATTCAGCTCCATAAGGACAAAGATGGCTTCACTTGACACACAAAAACTCAGTTTCAAGTCGGATTCAGCTCCGTAAGGACAAACGATGACTCGAACGTGACCGCGTAGGAGAAAAAGCATATCCTGTTAAACAAAATCGTTCTTTTTCCTAATAAGAAACAAAAATTACATTCCTCATAAGAAAAATACAGGGAAGAACAGAACAAAACTCAAACAATGTTCCAAGTTGACAACAAAAAACTTAAGACAGCGCCCAAATTTCCTCCCACTTCCTATTTCTCCCTGAAAAAAACACTATATCAGTATGCTATAGCGCAACCATTTCCATAAAGCCTTTGGCTTCTTGGACCTGAAACGACCGAACCAGAAACCAGTGATTCGAGCTCTACGTACCGACTAGTTACAACTTAACAAGAAATTAACAAACAACTCTAGGCTGAATCGGTATTACGTTACCATCTTTCAAGAAGAACCATGTAAGATAAATGACAATGATGAGATACAGCATACTTTTTTTATGATACAATCACTTGAGGACCAACATTCAGTATATCTCCAGCCACTAACTTGGAAAGATACATTCTATTTTTACAGACTAGAAGAATGAGTTGTTTCCTGCACCTGCAAAATGATGGTTCAAAACTGACTCTCCATGTGCAAAGTTTCTTTTTATGGCTAAATACAAAGAGATACATTTATTTCAACTCGTGAAGCACCTTCACTAAGATCAGGGATTAATCATGCATGTCTTGATGCATCATCATGCAATTGAGTTGTCCGTACATTGGGATCGTCCTGCCACGAGGAAACTTATTGAATTTGGATGACATATAAATTGCATAATGCAGTGGAAGATATCGATTGTGTTCAGTAAACTAACCCGAATGCCATAGGCGAAACCAGCTGGTGCTCGGAAGAAATCCATTTGTCCCTGCAGGAACAAACCGCTTTTGTAAAATGTGGTGACTAGAATAGAAATAGGCTGAGCTGAATAACACAGTCTCAAAATGTAACATACCAGTCCATGAATGCTCGGTTGAGCTGGGTAATAACCATCATGGCTAGGTGCTATGGAGTTTAATTGCCCCTATAAATAAAAGAACACAAAATAACTAATAATTGCGGACAGATAAGAAATGGGTAAAGAGTTCATGTATTTTATACTAAGTTCGAACTGACGTATACTTTTTTGTGTAAACATAAAGCTTACCAGCCCCTGAATGGCCTGTTGATTTCCGTAATAATTATCACGGGTCGGTGCCATTAAGTTCAGTTGTACCTGAGAAGATAAGAGGGCATGGAACTGAAAACTTTGCAAATTCACTAATTAAGGTACGAGAGAGACTCGATAACATCATACCATTCCTTGCACGCTTGGCTGTGCGCCAAAATAGCCATCAAGGGTTACAGCTCTTGAGCTTAATTTGTCCTGAGGAAGAGAGACGGGAAAGAATCATCGATATATGGACAATGGTTTGTAGCTTACCTTTAAGTAGAGCAATTTTTCAAAAGACATTTAATCAATTATAATGCCCCAACTCCTTTTTATTTCCAAAGATGAATTCGAACATTGAAAAAGTTCCAAACCAGAGACTAAGAACCAAATAAAATAACCCTGAAAAATTGCTGGAATTTGGAGTTCAGAAAGAATTTCCTAAAAAACGATACAAGATTAAATCTACTTTTATGGTTGATTTGGATTGGCTCAAAAAACCGTTTGGAGACGAACAAAATTGTCGTTTATTTTGGGATTCAACACGAGTTCATATAATTGTAGTAATGATAGAGATAGATTGATAGACAAACCATGTGCTGCAAGTTATCATGTGCTCCAACAGTCATGACATCAGGTTCAGAATTCACCTGCAATTCGAAAGTGTCATTTTCAACACGTAATACACTTCAAACATAAACAACTATACTGCGAACAACTAACCTTCCTTTTCTTAGTTGGATTCTTTTTCTTGTTTGTCTTGCCTATGTTTCTAATCTGACTATCTTCTTCAATGCAGAGTAGACTATGAGCTGCCGATGGACCGGCTTCTAAAAAGGTTCTATTAGAATTATTGACACCAATACAATTTCCAAGAGTTTCATCAAGTGCATGTGCTGCAACACTGTAACTCTCTTGGGACAAAGATCCCTCTTCAATCAATCTCAATGCTCGCTGGCATAGATCATTGTACCGTTGCACCCGAGACTGTACTAGCTCAGGTTCTTCTCCCAATAAATGTCTGCTCTTAGCATCTCTTGTCCACCGCTTTAAAATATATTGAGTTGGAATAGTAGAAAGTTCACACTTTTGAAGAACAACCATAGCGTGTCTGCAAAGGTAACCTTTATATTCATACAACCGGCACAGACAAGAAACTTCCGACTTCAATCCATTCCATACAACAATGAAGACTAGATTCTTTTCAAAATCTTGAACATGATATGTAATGCTTTTCTCATCTTCCTTTTCTTTCCTAGGAAAGCAAGCAACAGCACCTAAGACCTCGACTTGAAATTTTTTAAATACCGCATGTGTGTACATTCCCGAAATACTCTTCTCAAACGGTGAAGGAGATCTTAAAGTGGGTTGTTTGTTCCATGTATCAGAATCAGCTTTTGCTTCCTCTTCATACCTATCCTGTAAAATTGATTCATACTGTTTCACAAACTCTTGCACAGTGGTCTTCTTGTGCAAATACTTGTCAAGGAAGGAGTTTACACTTTCGGATCTCTGTGCCACGGACATTCCAGCCAAAAAGACATCTTTCATATATGTTGGAGCCCATTGTCTTTGATCTTCACATAAGGACTGAACCAATTCATCTTCTCTGAGTTCAAATCTATCAACCAGTTTCCACCACCTTTTCTCAAACTCTTCAGTTGTCCATGATCTATAGATGCATTTTTCAAATTTCGCCATAAAATTTTCATGCCGTTTAATTACATTACCAAGGTTTTCAGAAATTTTCGCTAATATGTGCCACAAAGCGAAGTGATGATACACATTTGGAAGCACCTCTTGAATGACTGATTTCAGTACCTTATCATGGTCACTGATAATAACTTTTGGAGCCTGTCCACCGATTGCTTTCAACCACACATGCAATAGCCAAGCATATGTTGTTGGACTTTCATCTGATAGCAAAGCACATCCAAGCAACATAAATTGATAATGTTGATTCACCCCAACAAAGAAAGCAAGGGGCAACTTATATTTATTTCTGATGTAGGTAGTATCAAGAGAAACTACATCATTAAAATAAATATAGTCATGCCTACTTTTTGCATCGATCCAAAATAAATTTCTTAGTCGGTGGTCTTCGCCAATATCGACAGCATAAAAGAAGTTAGAGTTCAAGTTCTGCATCTGAGTAAGAAAGTCGAGTAAAATCCTTGCATCTCCAGCATCAAAAGCAAAATTGCGAACTTTGTCAAATGGATTCTTCGAGTCATTCTTGAGTCCTACAACATTTTTGTATTCAGCAAATTGCCTAGCCATTGCAGCATACATCTTTCTTGTTTGTTCACTGACAGCTTGAGCAGGTAAAAGCTCATGGTTATGCTCCTTAACAAAACTATGTATAACCCATTTACCATCCGCCCTCCTCTTTACATGCATGCTAGCTTTGCAGTCTGTCTTTGCACATGCTCTTCGACCAGTTGAATTTTCACTTTCTTGCTTAGTTTGCCTTACACGTGGACGATTGAAGGACTTATCATACTCTCTCTTCATGCCATAACGAGAACATGCAAATTTTGCATCAATAAATTCCCTTGATGTCTTTGAACGGCGGCTATTTTGTATTGCTGTGTTGAATCCCATAGAACGAGCATATTCCTGATAGAAGGAATATGCTTCACTGTGTGATTCAAATTCCATGCCAGGAAGTGGTTCCAGATTCGTGTCCTCTTTAAACATTACCATGTCTAACATGGGGGAATTTAAATCTCCACCATCTTCAACGTGCATCCCATCTGTAGCTTCAACCAT